GCAACGTTCAAAGAGCCATAAACCGCGTCCATTTTCACACTATTTATTTCTTTTTTAAATTAGCGAGACACTTTAAAACTATCGTTCCCTGGCGAGATATATTTTCTTTTCGACTGCACGCATGAATGCGACACGAGAAGTTGACAACCCTGAAAATCAATCCCGGTTTTTTTTTCTTCAGAAAAAGCACAGCAGTTCTGAATAGAGCAGCATTTAAAAAGAAAAAGATCAAAAGCGAGCTCAACCAGTTTCATTTTCTTAAAATCCAATTACTTAAGAGTATATTTGTAATCCTAATCTTTTAAAAAGAGACTCATGAGTGATGTTTATTTTAAAGAAGTGCCTCTGTTTTAATACAAGAGAGTAACAATAATAAAAAGGAAGAAGGGAAGACAATGATGATAAATTATACTTAAATAGAAAGAAGAAGCAAGCCATACAAAAGCACCCGTGAACCACCCTCTCCTTTCTTCTCTCTAATTTATTCTACCTACTGAGATAAACACATTGTGGTACGTCTGCCAAAAGTTCTAATAGTAGTACATGTATTAGTGACCAGTAAGGCGTTGAACTCAGAGGTCGAACCTCCCATCTGATGGATCTCTCACTTTCTGGTAAACTGATCTCTCCTTCAATTTCAAGCCAGCGAGTACCGTACAGTACTGTCTGAGCGTGTGTATAATAACGTGAGCATGCGTTGTGTGTATGCGTGTATGTGTGCATTTGTGTGTGTGTGTGTGTGTGTGTGAGTGTGTGTGTGTGTGTGTGTGTGTGTATGTGTGTGTGGGTGTGTGTATTTATATGTGTGGGTGTACATAAACTTTGTAATATTATTGTAATACCAATGCCATTGTAAGCTGCCTAGACAAATTTCTCCCAGCGACATGAACAAAATTAGTTGTGCCCTTGTCAATGTCATTGTCAGCATTATAGTCACTGTCATTGTCAGCATCATAGTCACTGTCATTGTCAGCATTATAGTCACTGTCATTGTCAGCATCATAGTTATTGTCACTGTCGCTGTCACTGTCACTATAGTTGGCATTGTCATTGTCACTCTCATTGTCATTGTCGTTGCTATTGTCATTGTCAATGTTATTATAACTGAAGTTTTTATCATAACTGTTACTGTCATTATCATTGTCATTGTTTTTGTGATTGTCATGGTCAGTTCATTTTAACCATACAATAGTCACTGTTTCTTCTACAGAGAGTCTACGTAAACTCTACACAAAAGAGGCGGTAGAAGGATTATCAATTTCCATATCATTGTCACTATCATTGTCACTGTCGCTACCACTGTCAAAGGCATTATCATTGTCATTGTCATTGTCATTGTCTATAATATAATATTTTTTCTTCTTCTTCAGAGAGACAACATAAATTCTGCACAAGAGAGACTGTGGAAAGATTACGTCAGACCTACAAGCACGATTGCTACAATGTCTCATCGAATACTTCCACTCCTTTTTACAACAATTCTGTGCATTACGCCAGGTCTCTGTCAATCCAATTCGGACGATGCTCAGTCACTTCCTATCCCAGAAATTATGGACATTCTAAATGTGATCGATACAAGCCTAGACGATATCGTCGTGAGAGTTCGGAGGCTGCTGGACGAGGCATCTGATGGTAGGGAGACTCGGATCGTATCGAAACAGATTTCGGAAGTGTGCGAGGTGTACTTAAGGACGACTTCGAATCTTCAACAACGAGTGCGTATCTTGTTGACGGAGATCGAGGAGAAGGGGAGGACAGGGGGGACTGACTCGGACATCGCGGATGTCAATTGGATACTGGTCAGTTTGATGGTTGAGTTAAAAAACCAAAAAAACAAACATATTATGTCACATTTGTTTTCTCTAAAAACACTTCTTTTCTTTTCTGTGGCTGCAGATCTTTGTTCGTCACATAAACTCTTCGATGTGTGGTCTGAGAGTTATAATATAGTATAGTTTGTTTGTTGCTTTTGTTGTTTTTGCTTTTTAAATAGTTAACTTTTTCTGTTTGGTTGTTTTGTTATTCTTTGTATTTTCCGTTTTCTTTGTTACGTTAACTTGTTTGTTTGTTTAATAGGTTGTTGTTTTTTTTTTGGGGGGCGGGGGGTTGTTCATAATATAAGAGATAGATAGATAGATAGATAGATAGATAGATATATAGATAGATAGATAGATAGATAGATAGATAGATAGATAGATAGATAGATAGATAGGTTTGCATTCTAACCATTGATAGATAGATAGATAGCTAGATAGCTAGCTAGCTAGATAGATAGATAGATAGATAGATAGATAGATGGATAGATAGACAGCCATCATTCTATCCACTGATAGATAGATAGATAGATAGATAGATAGATAGATAGATAGATAGATAGATAGATAGACAGACATACATTCTAACCAATGCTAGATGGATGAATAGACAGACACTCTAGCCACTCATAAATAGACAAATTCAAACTTTCTGGACAATTTCCAGGCCAGAACGATGGAAGTTGTGAGGAACATGGAGTCGATATTGGTTCGCACTAAGGCTCATCTGTCTTCTAAGGAGACACACGGGGATCTGCAGTGGGTTCTGACAAACTTGGAGGATCTGAAGAGCGAAGCTGATTATCTGATTGGTTTTGCGAGGTCTCGATATAGCACGGACGGTGAGGCTGTTGTTGTTGTTGTTGTTGTTGTTGTTGTTGTTGTTGTTGTTGTCGTCGTCTTTGTTGTTGGTGAAGACAATGATGGTGGTAATGATGTTGTTGTTGTTGTTGCTGTTGTTGTTGTTGTTATTGTTGTTGTTGATGATGGTGATGATGACGATGATAATTACAATGCTGATGATGATGACGATGATAATGATGACGATGATGATGATGATAATGACGGATGGTGGTGTTTTTCATGTTGTCGATCTTGGTGATGATGTTAGTGTTGTTTTTGTTATTGTTGATAATGAATGTAATGATATTGATGTTGTGTTGGCGTGGTTATTGCTGTTGTTGATGATGGTGGTGCTGTTCCTGTTTTTGTTAATGATCATAGTGATGATGATAATGATGTTCGTGTTAGTATTATTATTATTATTATTATTATTATTATTATTATTATTATTATTATTGTTGATAATAATGCGGGTGCAGTTGCTGTTGTTGTTGTCATTGTTGTTGTTGATGGTGATGTTGACAATGCTGATGGTGGTGTTGGTGCTGCTGTTCTTGGGAATGGTGATTGTGTTGAAGTTTTTGTTGTTGCCTTTGAAGTTGTTGTTTTATTTTATTTTCTCGGAAAACGTTATTGCCAACTTGAATATTTTTTTCTGTAGACCCGTGACCAATCCAAGTCACGAAGGGACCCATTCTTCGCAAAGAGTCTAAAACTTAATTTGACAAGAAATGACACGGTTGCAGATGTTAACGTTGGTGTGTGCCTCGTTGACTGTCTACCCCGTGTCAGATTTCACTGGATCATTGTGCGGTCGTGAAATACGACCAGTCAGCATTCCTACAATCTCGTCGGTGCGCCTGTCTGCTTGTCAGCCCATCTGTTTCTCTCTCTGTCTGTCTGTCTGTCTGTCTGTCTGTCTGTCTTTCTCTCTCTCTCTCTCTCTCTCTCTCTCTCTCTCTCTC